GAAAGAAAGAAAGAAAGAAAGAAAGAAAGAAAGAAAGAAAGAAAGAAAGAAAGATTCTAATTTCTTTGTAAAGTTGGCTACATTATCTTCTCTAATCTATGTTAATCCAATATTTATGTTTGAAATTGGACCCACCTTTCTAAATCATTTGACAATATTCAATTTGTGGTAGCTTTCTGTCTCTGAGGCATAACTATAATAATACACGTAGAAAGGAATTCTGCTGTCTATTTGATATACTTTGTTAATCTGCATAGCGGGATGAAGATAGCTGGGGAGAATCTTTAAAACAAAAGGTAAAAATCAGGTCAGTAGGCTTATGTCATTAACTAATTTGGGCCTGTGCTGCTTCCTAATGGATGGGTTATGGAAAGCCTTTATCATACAATTTTCCATCACGTTTATTTAATTCTCACTGCTATTACTAAATACAAACTTCAGTGGTTGAATTGGCTCACTCTTGATTACCAGTGAAATTTAAGATTCATGGTTAAGTAGCTCACTCTTGAAGTCAAAAAGAGAGATAAAATATTGTTTTTTACATTACTTTTAATAACCCATTGCTTTAATGAATTTATCTGGGATCTTCTTTTATGTCTACAGTGACTTATCGACTGTCTTTGAGTTTATTAAGATGATGCTCCCTGAATTTGTGTATGTTTCTGTTGGCCAGTTGGTCAAGGAATTACTTTGTGTGAATTATCCCCCCTTGATGAAAACCATGGCTTCAGTTTCATATGAGTCATTGATCTGGACATGCATCATGTCTGGAAGCAGAGATGCAGCGGGTAGCATCTTTTCTGAGAATGATGTCTTTACAGTGAGACTAACTAGCTGCATTGATATGAAGAACTGATGAACAACCTGCTTCCAGCCAGGGCAGAAATAGTAAAGCGATCATTAGTATCCTCTGTGGGCTCTTTGTGCTCATTGTCATTTGTACTTATTTATGGCTGACCTAGCATGCTCCTTTGTAAGAAAACTGACCTAAAACTTAAGGCCTAGATGTTCTGTCAGAATTAACGTTTCTGCCTAGGACATCCTCTGGGATGGCATACAGTCACTCAGGAACATATGCTGGGAGGGGAGAGGTGGAAAAATTCAAGATGATGATTGTGATTCTATGCCCATGATCAAAGCTCCACGAAGGCAGGGCCTCAGTTGTGCACCATCCATCTTGTGGGTACTTCTACTGTTGCTGACATACACACAAACACCTCCCCAACCCCATCCCCGTGATAGCCTTGGGCACTCCCAGTATTTTTTAAATGAGGTAAAATGAGTCTCTTTGTACCCTTCCTTAAGCAACACTGAGGTGTGAAGAATAAACATGTCAGCTTTCTGCAGCTGAACAACAACAACAAAAAAGATAAAAGGGCTTATTTGTATGCTGCAGAACCTCCTGGTCCCACACACCAGGCAGTAGCATGTGGGAAGAGAACAAAAGGCCCTGCAAAAACTTTTGAAAGTCATCAGATCAAGAAAGAGGAACCCATTTGTTCCTGTTCCCCACACTCCCTGCTAAAAGAGTAGGTGGCTGGGAATGAAGAGATCGCCTGTTTTTTTCCTCAGCCCCATTTGTTCTCAGTCTTATTTCTGAGTGGGCAGGTAGTAATAGTAAAGGATGGACCTCCTTCTTCCTTTCCTAAACATTTAGCTCAAGGGGAGTGCTGCTATAAAGCCAAATTCCAGAGAGAGACATCAACTGCCTTCATTTTGCAGACAGCCTGGATGTCAGCACTCTGGGGAAATGACGGACACTGGCCCTGACTTTCTGGAATTTCTTTCCATGGCTGCAGGTCCATTTGAGAAGATGGGTGGGAGGAGGAAAGAGAAGAGGAAAAGATGTGGCAATTGCCAGAGTTTTTGTGGGGAGCACTGGCTGCAAAACATGAGAACATCATCATCTTTATTTCCAAGGTGGTGTTTGGGCACTAAATCAGCCCCCAAAAAGGTCTTGGAACACAAACATGGTGGTCCCTGAGGTGCACTATTTTGTTTGGAAGAGTGCCGGCTCCAGTTCTCTGAGAAATGAAGATGGTGGTCATAGCTGTCTGAAGCTTTGCCCCACAGTTTCAGGCCTATTCTAAAAAAGAAAAGAAAAAAGAAGATGCTGTTTCAACTACCACAGTCTTTCAGGAGACCATTTGCTGCAAAGTGTGTCACTGAAGTGTAAAGTCTGATAATTATTTCATTATCATTATATCATTATATCATTATAATAAATTATAATTATTGTGAAATAAAATGGAGAATCTAGAATCTAAATTTTAGACCCTACCTCACAGTATGTCATGTCTGTTCCTCTTTATGGTTTTTGACCTGAACATGTATGTTTGGATGTCAGTCAAGTCAAATATTTTGAAATGCAAGTTTAATCCTAATTGATCACGCTATGTTTATTCCTAGAAGAAAATCTCATTGTTCATTCTAAAGCTATCACCTTAAATGTAACTTGTCAGAAAGACGGTTCTGTAAAAATTGACTTCCAGGCAAATTACCTTTAAGGCGAAAGCTTTGGAGAGAACATTGTCTGGATGAGACATTCTGATTTCCTATAACATATTGATTAGAAAGCAGCACTGATTTGCATTAGCTAATGACACAATGAGTACCTTCAGTTGGCTGTCATCCAGGTTTCCTTAAATTTTTCTGAGCTATCTTTACCTCACAGTACAGATTCATGTTGAACCAGATATAAATCTGTTTCAGCACTGGCCAGAATCTTGTTGAGTTAGTCGCCATGCATTTAAAACGAACAATTTTTGTGATGCTGCCTGTTCTAGCAAGCTCTCTGTTTTATAGGGCCGGGCATGGATTCGTGTGGCCCTGATGGAGAAGCGCATGTCTGAGTATATTGCTACAGCACTTCGGGATACTAGAACTACAAGGTAAGAACCTCTGATCTTGCACCAAATGGAAATATGTGTTCAAGGTTTTGTTTCTCCTGCAGCCACCGCCTTTTCCTTTACTCTATTGTTGTCTGCTCAAAAAGTCTGGAGTCCAATTTCCTAGTTACTTTCCCAGCCCAAAATTACAGCTATACTGAGAGACTCCCATAGGCCCACATATCCTGTCAAATAAGAAGAAAAGAAAAAACGTGTCCCATGCTAATAAATGTAACACGGTGTACACTTAGATCCATGTCATTAGACTTAGCAGAATCTCAGAAAGTGGACTCCAACTCTGGAAATCTTACACTAGGTGTATAATGACTCTGCTGTTGTTTTTCTTCTGCAATATATAGTAGTCATAAATGGAACTTGCAGTCTGCAAGTGTAAGACAATTACTCTCAATTCCCCCAGGAAGTCTGTGCACCTTAAAGTCTAAGCCTAGAATTTAAGCCTAAACCAGCTCTCATAGTGCAAGATTTGGCACTAGCCCTGCTTTTGAATTGCTTGGTGCTGACCTCAGGTACAAAGAAAACTGTGCCTAATGCTTTGCCTCTACAATGCAAAAATGCCATATTCCAGCTGTTGACTGAGTTTGGGCCTAAATGTGTTATACATGTCAGAATTTTTGGATGGCTTAGAAGTACCTTGATCCTGTATGGGGGCCAGTCCTGAGGGGGGCAGTGAGCCTGTAAACACCTTGGTGTCCTCTAGGCTCCTACCTGATCTAACTGTTGATACTTTGATATTTTCAATCTTTTGATTACAGTTGGCATGCTGCAGAGGAAAGCATCTGCCTTTAGATTAATTTTTAAGAATGTGTCTGAGAATCCAAATCATCCCTATACGCTTTTCTTAAAATATAAAAAAAGCCCAGGGCCCAGGGTTTGGTTAAGAAGTGCCCAACTGTTCAGAAAAAGGACAAAAGTAAGCAAGAGTTATAAGAAGTTTCCTGTGAAAAGAAGGCTAGAGGGAATGGCAGGCACTATTTCAGTAAATAAATACCTTATAAGTAGTTTTAACATGGGATGACTTTTTGCCATTTGTACCTCCGTGTTGTGTGTACTCTGAACTTTCCACTTTGAGGAAGAAGTGTGCAAATGACCCTGTTTCAGTTTTTTCCAGTGATACAAAAAAATTGTAATAGTAGCACAGTGGCAGACATGGGACAACAATGCCCCTATCTTTCCCCACATTCTCCCCTCTTCAATCAACAAGTCTTTCGCTTTCCCCACATCTCCCTCTATAGGAGATTTTATGATGATGGAGCAATAATGCTGCGAGAAGAATCCACCGTCCTCACGGGAATGCTAATTGGCCTCAGTGCTATAGATTTCAGGTACGTTCACGCCCTCTGTTTTAACCTTTCTTTGTGCGGGAGCACGGTTACTGTAAGTATTGTGTCTCCCGTGACACACTTGTTGCATGAGCTACATTTAGTTGTCTTTGCACGTTAAATCAAATAAACAGTATTATGGCTTTGGGTGATGAGTGCACCCAACCAGTATTAGAACGGTGATACTGCCTTAAATGATCTACAGTAGGTGCCCCAAAGACAGGGATCTTTAAATAACTAGGTTTTGCTCTTATATCTTCCAATTTTGATTTGTTTTACAGTTTCTGCCTGAAAGGGGAAATTATGGATGGTAAGACACCGGTGGTTATCGACTATACTCCATACCTGAAGTTTACACAGAGGTAATGGATTCTGCTAATTTTGCCTTGGGTCATGAGGATGAGGCTGTAGAGTTGCATTGCAGGAGGTTCTCCAAGGCCAGTAATGTACATGTGATTGTTCTAAGTTCAGGATATCTACATTTCATTTAAAAGGGAGCCTTCCATTAAAAAAAAAAAAAATTAAGGACACATGGCAAACTGGAACAGGGTCTACATGTACTACAGAATTGTGTCATAGTAGTAGTAGTAGTAGTAGTAGTAGTAGTAGTAGTAATAATAATAATAATAATAGAAGAGAGTCCTGAGGTGGCAAAATTAATTATATCCCTTCAGACTGTAGATATGCATAGGATGGCAGGGAACAAATTATTTTATTAATTAATTAATTAAATTTGTATGCCACCCATCTCCCACAGAGGGTGATTCTGGGCGGCTTACAATTAAAATTCGAGACAATAAAACAATAAAAATATAAATATCCACAATTAAAATAACAAGTAACAATTTTATATGAAAAGCCAATAGACAATTCAAGATGATGCAGTATCGATCATCCCACAAGCCAATTCCAACAATGCGAGCCCCCATCAGACCCCCAGGCCATCTGGCATAGCCATGGTTTTAGACTT